AGAGATATACGCAGACAGAGATATACAGACACACACACACAGAGACACACGCAGAATGAGATCTGCAGACACACACAAAGACACAGGGTGTGATACATAGCGAGATACAGAAACACACACAGACAGAGATGCACATACACACACAGACACAGAGAGCTGCAGACGGGAGAGATACAGAGGAAGACAAAGAGAGTTACAGACACACACGCAGACACAGATATACACAGAGAGAGATACAGAGAGACACACAGACACAGAGAGATACACACACAAACGAACAGAGACAAACACAGCAAAACAATGTACAGACACACACAGCGCGCTATATCAAATACAAGTATTACTGTGATTAATTTGAGACACACTCTCAGTCGGCCATTGTAACTAGGCCCAGGCGGCCACTTCTGACGGCCATTTTGGGGCCATGTTCAAACGAGAAAATAATTATGAACAATTATGTATCAAAATTTAATAAAAGAAAGAATCGTTGCACTACATGGAAGCATTTCAATATTCATTACAAAACTAAATGCTTTGTCATGATGTGCAGACCTTTCCGCACACACAGAAAGGTGTGCACACACCCTACACACACCCTACAAACACCGTCCCCATCTACGCGCAATCTGACCTATAATTACAGCCTCCACAACGCACACACGCATCCTTCCCTACACACGTATCCACCACTACACACAACAACAACAACAACAAGATTCAATTTATAAAGCGCCTTTCACGTCGGAGGACGTCCCAAGGCGCTGTACAGTTGGATCAGGACCCGCGCAAGTTGGAAATGTTCAAGATGAGGGGAGAGAATGGAGGTAGAGAGGAGGGGGTAGAGAGTCGAGTGGGGAGCCGAAGGCACAGTCAAAGAGAAAGGTCTTGAGACCGGCCTTGAAGGAGGAAACGGAGTAGGCAGCGAAGGCACTGGGGGATACAATACCAGAGCCTCGGGGCTGAGAGGCTGAAGGCCCGACCACCGATGGTAGGAAGGTTGGGGCGGGGGATGTGGAGCAGACCGGAGCCAGAGGAACGGAGGGTATGGGCGGGTATGTAGGGGGATAATAGGTCGGAGAGGTTGGAGGGTGCCTTGTAGGTGAATGGCCTTGTAGGTGAGGATGAGGATCTTGAATTCGATCCTCTGGGAGATTGGGAGCCAGTGGAGGCGAGCGACGGCGAGGGTGGGTGTGGTGTGGTCCTGGTACGGGACATTCCACGAGCTGCAGAGTTCTGAATGATCTGCAGTGTGGAGGGAGGTGCCGGGAAGGCCGGCGCGGAGAGAGTTCCCATACATATACATATTCCTCAACAGAATCCATCCCCACATACAAACATCTAACCCTACACACACTCTGCACTTCACACGCTCTCCCCTAAAAACCCAGACTACTCTCCAAACACTACCTACCCAACACACACGCCCTCTTCTACACATACCCTACACCATGTCCACGCCAACTCCTACACACATTTACCCCATCAAATATACTTCCTCCACTAAACACACAATCTCCACTACACACACACCAGCACATACACCATACCCTACACAAACGCCCTTCACGACTCGCGCGTCCACGCTACAAAACACACTTCCCAACACAAACAACCTCCGCTGCATACACATCCTACACAACTCGCACGCTCCCCTATCAAGTCAATTCCTCCCCTAGCCAAACCGTTCCCTACCAACACGCATCCTTTCCTACACAGTCCATCCCCGACAAACACAAACTCTCCGCTGCACACACACACTTTCCTTTAAACAAATACCATCCCCTACACAAAGCATCCACTGAATCCACACCGTCCGAATCACACACTCACACACCTTCCCCTCCACACAACACTGTGCTACATCAGCCCTCCCCTACACATACACCATCCCGTACACACACACACATACACGCACAAATCCTCTCCAATACAAACCATAATCTCAAACCCTCCCCTGTGTACATTCTCCCCTACACGTACCATCCCCTGCAGACACACATTCACCCCTAAATACTACAGAGACACATCCCGTGCCAGGCACACATCATCCCCTACACCCATCCAACCACAAAAAGACCTATCCTGGCGTATATACACTCACATACACATTGCCTCTTCTACATGCTCCCCAAAGCACACCATCCCCTTAAACACACACTCCCCTACATGCATGCCCTCACCGTCACACGCACTCCTCTACACGGATAACCTCCCCTTCTCATAAAACCCCTTACACACACATACTAGCTTATACACACGCTCCCTTACGAAAACGTATCCCCCCCTTAAACAACAAAACTACATTGACAGAGGGGCTTTCCCGTCTGGAGGACATCCCAAAGCGCTGAACAGTTAAATGTCGGGGCCCGAGCATGAATGAGGTGTGGTGTAGGGCTGAGGGAAGGCATAGCGGTAGGAGGGCGACAAAAAGCACTGTCTAAGAGAAGGTTGTTGAGTCCGGCCTTGAAGGAGGCAAGGAAGTAAGCCAGACGAAGGGACCGTGGGATGCAGTTCCAGAGTGTGGAGGCAGAGAGGCTGAAATGCTGGCCACCAATGGTAGGGAGGGTCGGGCGCGACATATGGAGCAGAACGGAGCCCACTGAACAGAGGGAAAGGACAGGTGGGCAGGGAGTCAGCAGGTCAGAGAGATAGTAGAGCGCAAGGCCATAGATGGCACCATCCTCTGAGGGATGGTGGGAGTGATGGGGTCACGGAGCCTGGTGCGCGAGAGAACATGCGCTCAGAGTTTTGGATGATCTGCAGCTTGTGGAGAGAAGAGTTGGGAAGGCCGAGTGAGTTCCTTCAGTCCAGCCTTGATGTGACGAATGGGTGTGCGATGGTTTGGGCAGTTTGAGGATTGAGGCAGTGTCGGTGTCTGGCAATGCTCCGGAGGTGGTGTTAGGCAGTGCGGGTCATGGCGCGGATGTGGGGGAGAAAGGACATTTCTAGGTCTAACGGGACACCCAGGTTCCTGACTGCTGTGAGGTTGAGAATGCAGCCGTGGATATTGATGCTGGAGCGTCTGGGTTGCCGAGGCGCTGGCGCGAGCCAATCAGGAGGGCCTTGGTTTGGCTGACGTTGAGTTGGAGAAAGTTGTCCCTCGTTCAGGAGTTGCTGTCGGACAGGCAGTCGGTCAGGACAGCAGTAGTACTGGAGTTGAGTGTGGAGACAGAGAGGTAGAGTTGGCTGCTATCCGGATGTGTGTGGAAATGTGCCCCATGTCTGCGCATGAGGTCACCAAAGGAGAGCATGTAGAGGGTGAAGAGGAGGGGACGGAGGACAGAGCCCTACACACACACCATCCCATGACATACACATCATCTCGTGCACCCAAACAAACACTCTCTCCAACACAAGCCTTTCTCTGCAAATACACATCCACCCCAACTCACACATTCTACATTAGACACAGACTCTTTGATACACAAGTACCCTCCAATACGTGCACACATCCTGCCTTACAAACACCCTCCCTGACAGAAACAGCTTCTCATATATACACACATCCTTCCATAAACTAAACACACTCATGCTGCTCTCCACACTCCCTCCCCTGTACACACACCTTCCATTATATGCACACCATCACTCACATCTTCCCCTATGCAAACAATCTCACCTTCATGCACCGTCATCTTTTCACACCGTCCCTTACATTAACTGCAAACTGTGTTTTTCACAATCTTAGACAAAGAGATACAAATACAAAAATAAAAAATAACTTTTACAAAGCGCCTTTCACATCAAGAAGATATGGTAAGGCGCTGGACATTCAGGATTTGGACCCGAGTTGGCGGTTGCGAATTGCGAGGGTAGAGGACAGGGAGGGGAGGCCAAGATGGTGGCGAAACGCGCGGCGGAAGAGACAGAGAGAGACACCAGGCACAGGACGCAGAAATGGACATGTTCATTAATTGGGAATACGCAGAGAGAGAGCGAGAGAGAAAGAGCGAAAGAGAGAGAAATTTATGCAAAAAGCGACACAAAAAGGAAACCATGGATAGGCTCTCCTGTCTTCACAGCTTTATCCAGTTGCCTCCCTCCCCTGCTGTAACAATTTCCGTATGTCACATCCTCGATTTCCCCGATCTTCTCCTTTGCACTGTTTCCTAGACTTGTATACATCTCTTTGTTAATGCTGATTTCAATTTCACATCCAAGCCCATTCCATCTTACCCACTGACTCAACTGATTGTTTACTGGTCTATCACTCCATTGCTTTTCTTGTCCTCACCTTTGTCCGAGATTGTTCCAACCGGTTTGTGTATTGTTTTAATTGTAACAAAAAGCAATACATTGGTAGCTTGAATCCACGACAGCTTGTAGGATGTCGCTGTGTGCATTTGGCTTTTGTGTTTCCCCCTCAAAAGATACAGTCGATTCACTTTCAGTATTCTCTGTGAAGCGCTTTGAGGCGTCTCCAAGATGTGATAAGGCGCTGTATCAAATGGAAGGATTATTGTTGTCATTATTATTATGTTATTGTAGCTGTTGGTTAATCTTCCACTTCTCGTCTGCCTTGCTCACTCCACTACATTTTCTTCCTCCTTTCGTGTCGGTGGAGAAACTATCTCTTCCCTGGTCACATTGTACTCATAGCTTCCCGTACTGCTCAACGCACGACCTTAATCCTTGTCCATTATTGTGACCGTGTTGTTTCTCCATCTCTCTGCAATGGAAACAGAAATCTCGTTATTTGATATTCGGCATCACGCACTTTAGACTGTGGGCTGGTGTCCCGGGAGTTCAGTAAACATGGCCAGTTAGCACTCACACTGAGGCAGTAGTTTAGGCGTCCTCACTCAGGGGCAAATGAAACAGGAAATAATGCTTATACTGAACAGAGACGTGACCACCTCTCCTTTCTTCTTGTTTGCAGAGGGGAATTGGCTTCGCCGCTGTGTAGGTAAGAGTCTTAATAAAAGGAAACACGACATTCACATCAACCTACCGTTTTCAGTGCTAATCTCCCTCTCTCTCTCTCTCTCTCTCCTCTCCAGCCGATGTAACTCTGGATCCTCAAACAGCCCATCCCAAACTTACCGTGTCTGAGGACCTGAAGAGAGTGAGTCTCCTACACACACCGCAGGGGCGAGATGCCAACGAGACAAGGTTTGATGTCAGTATCTGTGTCCTGGGATTGAATGGCTTCACATCAGGGAGACATTACTGGGAGGTGCAAGTGGCCAACCAGACCGAGTGGGATGTGCCAGTGGCCAGAGTGTCTGTTAACAGGAAAACGAGAACCGCAGTGGCACCAGAGGAAGGTTACTGGGCTGTGACCCTGACATATAGGGGTGAATACGAAGCTCTGACCAAAGGTCGCACCACCCTGCCCATGACACAGAGATTCGGGCCGCTGGGAGTTTACCTGGACTGGGAGATTGGAAGGGTGTCATTTTACAACGTTGACAACACATCTCATCTCCACACTTTCTACTCCGTTTTCACTGAGAAAGTTTATCCTTACTTCAGGCCTGGTTTGAGTGATGACGGGAAAAGCTCGGGGATGCTTGAAATCAGCCGGGAAAAGCAGGATACCAATCGGTGCCAATTGTTTCCCTGCTTCCGAGGAAGAAAAAACGTTAAAGAAAGGGAACAATATCGTCTGACTGAGAGAAATCCGTAGTTTGTCTTTCAACTCGTCTCACTGTGTTTAACAAAATGTGTATTTCGCCAGTCACCTTCTATAATCTGCGTAAGTATGCAATAAAGCTTGTAGTTTAGATTACCCCTTGCACATTGGGCCGCCGTCTGAAATCTTTCACAGGATTTAATATAAAGTGAATGTTGCGTTTATAAACGAAATTTACAGACAATTTGCACAGAGCAAAGTCTACATCAAATCATATTTCAAACAACAAAACAACAGGACATGTCGGTGAGGGTGTGGGTGAGGGTTAGTTTGTGGGTGAGGGTGAGGATGACGGCGTGGGTGAGGGTGAGGGTGATGTTGCGGGTGAGGGTAAGGGTGTGAGTGAGCGTGTGGGTGAGGGTGAGCATTTGGGTGAGGGTGTGGTTGAGTTTGAGGGTGTGGGTATGGTTATTGTTGAGAGTGAGGATGTGGATGAGGGGTGGGTGAGTGGCAGGGTGATGGTTAGAGTGTGGTTGAGCGTTAGTGTGTGGGTGAAGGTGAGGGTGAGGGTAAGGCTGAGGGTGAGATTGTGCGTGAGGATGAGGATGTGGTTGAGGGTGAGGATGTGGGTGTGGTCCTAGTGTGCCTGAGGGGTAGGTTGTGGGTATGTTTGAGAGTGAGAGTGAGGTTATGGTTGACGCTGTGGTTGAGTGTCCGGTTGAGGGAGAGGGTAGCATTGCTGTGCAGGGTGACAGTTTGTGTGAGGTTGTGGGCGAGGGTATGTGAGGGTGAAGTTGTGGGTGAGGGTGAGGCTCTGGGTGAGGGTGAGTGTGTCACTGAGTGTGAGGGCAAGAGTGAGGGTGAAGGTGAGATTGTGTGTGAGGCTGTGGGTGAGCGTGAGAGTGTTGGTGAGGGTGTGGATGAGGTTGAGTGTGTGGTTGAGTGTGTGCATGTAGCTCAGGATATGGATATTGTTAGAATATACACTTTTTGTATAAATTTAGAATCATAATGGGTTAACTTTTAAGTTGAGTGTTGGGGACAACTGGACTGAGAATCATGGGATAGGACACATCTGTTTTCTTCTGTTTTTGAAAGAATAACGGCAGGGGCAGGGGGTCACCTCTTATCAGTAAATGACAACACGCCCACAGAGGTAACGGTCCAAGGTACCAGTCGACACAGGATCTCGACTGAGCAATAAGTCACTGGATTCTGACAGGGCCGAGCGACAGAAGGCAACCCTCAAGAATAGCAATTAATGAGCAAGTTGCTTAAACTAGAGGACCTCGGGACCCTCCCGGGATACTGATAAGGAATAACCAGCCACTTAAAGGGAATGTACTAATAATAGTTGGGACGATGGCCGCGCCTACGTGAGCTATGAAGTATGAAGGGGAACTTGTTAAGTAACTTTACATGTGTGTAGCAGGCAATTAACCGAGTGCATTAATCGATTGGGATTCTGAGTATTAAAAAGAACAAATTTGAGCGTGTGTCTCTTATTTGGATTCCCAACAATTTGGTAGGATTCCCCAGTAAATAGAAAAGGGGGTTACAATCAAGCCATGACGAACGTTTAATGATGTTGCATGTTTGAATACATCAAGGTCTGATTGTTTTTAAAGTTGAATATTTGACTATATTGGCTAGGAAGTGGGTGACTGTCTCCTTGAATGTTTGAATACTTCAAGTAGAGCCAGTAGTTTTGAGTCAGCTGTGGGTGACACACCAATATATAGCTGGGGCCAAGCTTGAGTAAGCTGTGGATACCACACTAGGGTGTAGTCGGGACCAAGCTTCGGTAACGGTCAGGCATTTGAGTACGCTGGCGATTGCACCAGGCATTTAAATGTGCTGATGTGCATGTGAACGACATTTGAATATATTGTGTGTCGATGTAGAAATTGTGTAAGTGATGGAGTAACTTTCGGGCATTCGAACAATCAGTGGGAAATCCACTATAACTTCCGGGTAAGGAGAGGGACCAGGACTGATAGTAATTGAATGTTGATTTCAATTGTGACTGTGGTCGCTGGAAATAACCTGTTGGTTACGACTGAGCTGTGAAACTCGAGAGAAAGCTCATTAAGAGACTTTGCCTCCTGGAAGTGCCATCCTCCTTCCCAGGTTGTGTGACCTTGTGCTATTTTTCTGACTTTGTATTATCTGTCTTTTTGTACTGTTAGGTTGTGTAACCTTCTATTATTTTTCTGATTTTGTATTATGTTTTTGTAGTTTTGTGATACCTCATGTTCATTCGGTATCCAGGTGGAGATGTTAAAATATACACTTTTTGTATACTGCTATAATCATAATAGATGTTGTGAATGGGTTAACTTTTAAGTTAAATGTTGAGGGACGACTGGAGTGACAGTCATGGGATAGGAATCATCTGGTTTTCTCTGTTTTTGAAAGAATAACGGACAGGGGCAGGGGGTCACCTCTTATGAGTAAATGACAACACGCCCACAGAGGTAACGGTCCAAGGTACCGGTCGATACAGGATCTCGACTGAGAAATAAGTCACTAGATTCCGACAGGGCCAAGCGACAGAAGGCAACCCTCAAGAATAGCAATTAATGAGAAAGTTGCTTAAACTAGAAGACCTTGGTACCATCCCGGGATACTGATAAGAAATAACCAGTCACTTAAAAGGAATGTACTCATGATCCCACACCACAAATTAATGAGCACCAGATACAGTCCTAAACGGATCAATCCTCTATCTTAAACAATTAGATCAGACAACAAGGGGTTTTAAGGACAATGTGTATGTGTGTGAGGCACTACGCCCCATGAGGTGTTCACGTGCACTCAGCGTGATTTCAGCAGGTGATCTAATGTCCGCACCATGAATGGATGAACATTGGGATAAGAGTTCGGATAACTTTGTGTACGGAGCCGTCCCGGGTCGTGGAGACAAGGATACGGGAGACGGGGCCGTCCCGGGTCATGAAGACAAGGATACGGGAGATTGGGCCGTCCCGGGTCGTGGAGACAAGGATACGGGAGATGGAGCCGTCTCGGGCTGCGGAGACGCGGATACGGAGATGGAAGACTGAGAGCTGGAAACACTAAGACTGAGGATATCAGATGGAAGATTGAAATCTGAAAGCAAGAAGACTGAAAGCATGAAGAATCAAGCTTGTGTGCTGCAAAGACACAGTGTTGAACTCTTGAACTCGAGATATCTATAGTGGTGTTATTCTGTTATAAGATCTGTTGATTGTACCGGCCTTTGGTCTGACCCATCGGGATATTGGGGAATAACGAACGAATAATAATGAAACAATCTGATATATGGTTAGAGGAATTAGCGTTATTTCCTTACAGATTTGGCTGATTTTATTTTCTAACAACGGGCAAGGAGAGAAAACTAGGAGTGAGAATCTGGTGAGGAAATATGAGCATGAGATAAGTGAGAAAACTGATATGAACAACAGCATCACAGTTACATTTGTGTTGCGCATTTCTCGTCGGGAGAACGTCTAAGTCACTGGATAATCAACGTTTCTGACCCGAGCTACGGGTGGGAACTGGGAAGTGTGGAGGACAGGGGGAAGCAGGTTGATTAAAGCACCGTTGAAGAGGAAGATCTTCAGATGGGTCTTGAAGGAAGCAAGGGAAGGGGCAAGGCGGATGGACTGAAGGTTAGAGTCCTAGATGGTGGGGGCAGGGTGGCAACGCTGGGAAATACCAGAGAAGAACAAAGTGGGAAGTAGAGATAAGATTGAGTGAGTTGATTTGGGCATCGAACTGGATCTAAATGTGCATGATGGTAACAACGCAGTGGGAAGCCGTGAAACCGCGGTGGAAAGCCGTGAGGTAACGAAATATGGCTGAAAGCAACAGAAGTGTCCCACAATCAGTCTCGTATGAGTATTAAAGTGAAGGAGTTCACCCTCCGGAGTCAAGGGGAGCAGATGATGACGCTAAATGAGATTATGGCGCTGTTCCAAAAGAGGTTAAGACAGGAACGAATAGGCCTTGTAAGAAAGAATGACCCGCTCCAAATGCCGTAGTCGGACGTCCAGGCTTTTATGGAGAGGCACTATGAGGAACTGCGAGGTATGAGGGAAATAATGGAAGTGGATGGCTGGGCATCCGAGTGGGAGGTGTAGCTGAAGCTGCTCTGAAGACGTGAGGGGAGTGGTGGTCACTTCCCCTCCCGATTTAACATTGGGACCTTCGGGGGCACACTGTATTGACCCGGACTGCCCCGAGCATGCCTGAGAAGCGGACACGCGGTCCACTACATTGCAGTCGGCACACAGACTGTGTTCCGGAACAGCAAAAGTTTCGACCACCCGGCAAAAGACTGTCCTAAGGGCAGAAGGTGTAATAAGCGCAGCGAAAGAGGGACATCTTTACCATAGCTACCAAGGAGGATAGGACAGAAACCTATCCTCTAGACCTGGAGTCCACGCAATGCAGCAGGTGATGGAGCTAGAGCAGCCAATCACACAAAAATGCCTCCGATAACATGAGAGGTAAAAAAGAAAATTAACAGATGGAGGAGGTCACGCTGAACGTGGAGGAGAAGTAAATAACGGCCCAAACAGAAAAACCGGGAAGAGAGGATGGGCAGAGTGGGAACAACAACAACAAGATTCCATTTATAGAGCGCCTATCACGTCGGGAGGACGTCCCAAGGCGCAGTACTCTTTTGGGTCAGGACCCGAGCAGGGGGGAATAGTCAGGGTGAGGGGAGGGAAGAGTAGAGGGATTAGGGGAGGCAATGAGTGGAGGGTAGCTGATAGGATCATGGAGACTTGCGCGGGAGAGGAGATGGTTTGTCGAGTTCTGCATGACGTGCCACCCGTTGGGAGAAGCGATGAGGATGCCGACAAGCATGGAGGATGAGAATTCAAGCCTGCATGTGATGAAAGTTTGGATGAGGGTCGTGACGGCCTGCAGTTAAAGTCTGGCTAAGCCAGGCAATATTGCAGACATGGATCAATGCAGAGCCGTTCAGCGGTAAGGGAATCTTAACTTCGTTCAGTGAGAATCCAAAGAGAGAAGATGGGCAATTTAATAACACATCAATATTT